GGGACTTCTTCCCTGCGTTTCACGGAGCACGGGAGTCCATTCACGTGCCCTGTGAACCAGAGGTAAAACATAAGATTTGCATTCCCAAGACAATGTGTAAAGTTTAGGTGTGATCGTGAACAATGACCTATTAATTAACCTGTTCACGCACGGCCAATAGCACAAAGGTGGCCGGCAAAACACCTCGTCCCTCCAGGTGAACATCATATGGTGTCCTTTCAGTGTGTAAGGGACCGCCTGCAGCACCTCTATCAGTCCCCCGGCTGTGTAGCCTTCCCAGCGTGCGGAGTCTAAGCACCGGAGATTGTGTACCGGCCCCGTTTCCAGTACCATGTGCCTGACCAATCATGGACTTGGAGCGCTCCCGGTAGGTCGCAACTACAGTTGTATCTCCAACAGGGGTATGGGAGTCTGACAGGGGCTCAGAGAGCTAGGAGTCTGATGTAAGGGAGCCTAGTGATCCCCCAGCTGGGTGGATGGATGGCCATGAGCTAAATCAGAGTCATGCAGGCCAGGACGATAATCTAGAGGATCGGTAAGGTACAAAACGGTAGGCAAAGGATAGTCGGGTCACACGCAGGGTCAATACCAGGAGGTCAGATCTAAACGGAACATCCGGGAGCAGAGTCAGGCAAGCCAAGGGGTCAGGACGGGAGAAGGCAACAAGGTCAAAACAATCCAGATCAGAAAACTCACACACAGGTAACAGGATACAAAGTATCCCCTTCCCTGATCACCGACCCAGTTATAGGATGATGCTGTACTGAACTGGTGACAGTCGGGCAAAAGTAATTAGCTAAAATAGGCCGCCCTGCACCTGACATCGGCGTAACCTGGGTCCTAGTGCCTGTCTAGTACTGTCCAGACGACAGGTACGCCTGGGTCCTAGTGCCCTGCCACCTATACGTCTCGGCAGACACCTACGCATGTGTAGACCCATGCGTCGCGATGGTTCCTGACATTGTCCTTTCAGGCATGTGTAGTGCGCCTGTCCGCAGGGCCACTCTGCGGCACGATCTGTAACCGGCTGTGTACCTCAGACACGGCCGATGACAGATCTGTGTACCGGCCCCGTTTCCAGTACCATGTGACCTGCTGTGACCAATCACAGCAGGTCACACGACAGTTGTATACAGTGGATGGCTTCCTTTCATGCCAGCCATTGTATACTAGTGTGTCTAGCTGTGAATGGTCACAGCGATCACATGCACAAGCTGGGCCAATCACAACCCAGCTGTGTCATGTGATTAGCCATGACAAATCACAGCTAAGCACAAAAAAAACCCCTGAATGAATCGATGTCATTCAGGTAAATGCTTGCTTATAGCAAAGTAATTCTTTGCTATAAGCAAATTGTGTAAAAAAAAAAAAAAAAAAAATACTGATCACTTCCCCAAAGTAGTGCAATGTTACTATGGTAACATTATACTACTTTGGTCATAGTGAAATATGAAAAAAATGTAATAAAAAATGAAAAAAAAAAAAAAAAAAAAAAAAATATACTTTTTTTTTTCATGTTGTCACCAGTCAGTATCCCTTCCCTGATCACCGCCATGCCAGTTATATGATGATGCTGTACTGAACTGGTGACAGTATATAAAAAAAAAAAAAAATAGTGAAAATAATTTAAAAAAAAAAACTCGCCATGCCTCTTATGAAATACATCGGACTGTCTACTTTGCAAAAAGGGGTCATTTGGGGGATATCTGTACTGTTCTGACATTCTTGGACCTCAGGAAATTAGATTGGCCGTCAGTACTTCAGGACTGATCAATATTCAGATCTATACCATAGTTTGTGAACTCTATGACTTTCCTACAAACTAAATAATACATCCTAATTTGGGTTATTTTCACCAAAGACATGTAGTAGAATACATCTTGGCCTAAATTTATGAAGAACAATTATTTATTTGCAAACTTTTATAACAGAAACAAAGAAAAACGTGTTTTTTTTTTTCAAAATTTTCGGTCTTTTTTTGTTAATTTAGCAAAATATAAAAACCCCAGTGTTGATTAAATACCACCAAAAGAAAGCTCTAGTTGTGTGAAGAAAATGATAAAATTTTACTTTGGGTACAGTGTTGTATGACCGCGCAATTGTCATTCAAAGTGTGAGAGCGCTGAAACCTGAAAATTGGCCTGGGCAGGAAGGGGGTAAAAGTGTCCTGTATGGCAGCAGTTAAGCAATAGGTATCAGCTGCCATCAGGTCTTCCTGCCATCATCTCAAGAAAATTGTCATGGAGCACGCATATATATATAGAACTCACTGCCATCCATTGTCCAGAAAGCACCCTCTCTGGATATTTTTAAAAGCTGACTCAAGACATGTCTATTAACCCAGGCAAATAGCAACACCTGACAAAATTCTTGAAAGATCCCATCACCAATTTGATACATGCGTTGAGTACCCAGTGTGATATTGGGGAATTCAGCTTAGAGGTAGAAGCATTTTTAGTGATTCTATGCCAATCAGATCTGTGGTTCAGGACTTGCCAGCCCACTTTTTTTTTATTTAAAACAAAAAATAAAATTTAAGAAAGTGGTTGCCCACATTGGATTTTCACCAGAAAAACAAGTAATGAAAAATACCTTCTCACTCAGCTTCTCCTGGCTAGTGATGGGCCGAAAACGACCCCCGTGTTCGGTTCGTGGTCGAACATTCGAACCTAATGAACATTTGCGAACTTTAAACTCAACGCAAGTCTATGGGACTCAAACTTATAAATTCAAAAGAGCCCGTTTTTAAGGCTGGGGACTCAGGAACAACCTGAGTCCATTTTTAAAGGGGGAGTAATTTTTCATTGCCTAAAGCAAAAAAAAGAAAAATGAAAAATTCCTTTGAACATCATGCCTGGGGGGTCCCCTTAAACTATCTGCAAAGTTACACATCTGTACAGTATATAGAACCTGCTGCAGCAGGACTGACATTTTTTTTAAAAAATGAAAATTTTATATAAAAAAAAGAAAAATACCAGCGTGGGGTCCCCCCCACCTAATCCATACCAGACCCTTTAGGTTTGGTAGGAAGGTTAGGAGAAACCTCCTACCAGGCCATTTAGACCTGATAGGACTTTTAGGAGGAACCCCAGCTCTCAAGAATAAAGGAAAAAATGCATTGGGTTCCCCCTAAAAGCCATACCAGGCCCTTTAGGCCTGGTAGGACTTTTAAGGGGAACCCCGCCCCCAAAAATGGAGGGAAAAAAGCATGGGGTCCCCCCTAAACTCCTACACGGCCCTTGATCAGAAGATAGGCCTGGCAGGGCAGGAAAGGGGGGGTCATCAAGCGCTCCCCCCCAAAAGTTTACCAGGCCATGTGCCCTCTGGGGGAGCTGGATGGGGACAAGGGCCTCCTCCCCACAACCCTGGCTCGGAGGTTGTCCCCAGCCCCCTCAATATTTACCTGAGCATCATTGAGATGCAGCGCTGTGCACGACAGCCTCGGCTGTCCCGGGTCTGTGCCTCCTCACTGGCTGAGACAGCAAGTGGGAGAAATTAGCTCCCTCTGCTGTCAATCACAGTCAGTCAGCCAATGAGGAGTCAGCTAATGAGGGAAGGTGGGGCTGGGCCAAGCAGTGGCCCCCATAACAAGCTGCTTGGTGAGGGGGCACTCGACAGGGGAGGGGCCAGGAGAGCCTGTGGGGGACCCGAGAAGATGAGGATTCCAGCTGCTCTGTGCAAAACCACTGCACACAGCAAGTAAGTATAGACATGTTTGTTATTTTCAACCAAAAAAAAAGAACCTTTTTTGTGTTGCACAACTGTTTTTTATCATTTTGTATTTATTTAAGAGTTTCACTAGAACAATGAAAAGCGGTCATCAATCTTGTAACATACAGAAATATAACAAGATTTCCTGTAGTAAAAGAAAGCATGTAACGGAATGACATCTAATCTAGCCATAACTGACTCAATGGTATGTGAAACTGCAAGAAACCGCTACAGTCGTTGACACACAGCATTCAGTGAAACTACTCACATTTTTAAATTATATAACCTGGGAAAACCCATTGGCGTAAAACAGGGAAATACAACCTAGGGTAAATAAAAGGGGAGAAGCACCACACTAAGGGATCATGGCAGACAAAGAGTGAAGAAATGCAGCCTATAGAAAAGGGTAACAGCAAGAGCAGGGGAAAATAAAATTACACTATATTCCCAAAAGTATCTGGATGCCTGCCTTTACATGCACATGAACTTCAATGGCATTCCAGTCTTAGTTCGTAGGGTTCAATATTGAGTTGGTCCACCCTTTGCAGCTACAACAGCTTTGGCTCTTCTGGGAAGGTGATCCACAAGGTTTATGGGGTGTGTCTATGGGAAAATTTGACCATTCTTCCAGAAGCGCATTTGTGAGGTCAGGCACCGATGTCGCATGAGAAGGCTTGGTTCACAGTCTCCACACTAATTCATCCCAAAGGTGTTCTATCAGCCTGAGATCAGGACTCTGTGCAGGCAGTCCAGTTCCTCCACCCCAAACTCGCTCAACCATGTCTTTACGGACCTTGCTTTGTGCACAGTCATGTTGGAACAGGAAGGAGCCATCCCCAAACTGTTGCCACAAAGTTGGGAGCATGAAATTGTCCAAAATGTCTTTGTATGCTGATACCTTAAGAGTTCCCTTCATTGGAACTAAAGGGCCAAGCCCAACCCCTGAAAAACAACCCCACACCACAATCCCGCCTTCACCAAACTTTATACCTGGCATAATGCAGTCAGGCAAGTACCGTTTTCCTGGCAACCACCAAACCTAGACATGTCCATCCAATTGACAGACAGAGAAGTGTAATTTGTCACTCCAGAGAACACATCTCCACTGATCTAGAGTCCAGTGGCGACGTGCTTTACAGCACTGCATCGGAGGCTTTGCATTGCACTTGGTTATGGATGGCTTGGATGCAGCTGCTCAGCCATAGAAATTCATTCCACGAAGGTCTCTACACACTGTTGTTGTTCTAATCTAAGGCCACATGAAGTTTGGAGGTCTTTAGCTATTGACTGCAGACAAATGGGAGACTTCTGCGCACTGTGCACTTCAGCATGCGCTGATCCCGCTCTGTCATTTTATGTGGCCTACTACTTTGTGGCTGAGTTCCTGTTATTCCCAGTTTCTTCCACTTTGTTATAATAGAGCTAACAGTTGATCGTGGAATATTTAGTAGCAAGGAAATTTCATGGATGGACTTATTGCACAGGTTGTAACCTATCATGGTACAACACTTGAATTCACTGAGCTCCTGAGAGCGACCCATTCTTTCACAAATGTTTGTAGAAGCAGTCTGCATGCCTAGGTGCTTGATTTTTTACACCTGTGGCCATGGAGGTGATTGGAACACCTGAATCCAATGATACGTTTGTATACAACCACTTTCCTCTCTTTCTCATAATAAACTGAAAAGTGAAAAGGGTAGGGTGAGGAATAGAGCAATAGGTCAGACGGTAAAACTAGGCCCCTAAGTACCTTTTCTATTGTTGGATGAGCATTTAATATCTTCCTAATTATACCATCTCTTAGTCTGCTCTACGACCTTATCTCTGAGGGTCACCATAAGATCTTGCATGTTCTGAATGTAATTACCCCTGGCAAACCATTGGTTAGGTGTTGGTGGGTTTGTTTCCAAGTGCTAGGAGTGCATGCCATGGATGCATGTAATAAATTAACAGGTGATTTCTCATATCTTTTTTTGTGACATGGGTTGAGATTGAGAAGGATAGCAGTAGGCTTATCAAACAGAGAAATCCCCATTAGCTGAGTTATTATTTCCATAATGTACTGCCAGAAGAGTTCAATATAGGGAAGTCCCAAAAAAACAAGTAAAAGGAAACCTGTATGTGTTCCACAAAGCCAGCAGGAGGCACTCTTCTGTGGGAGGAATTTGGCAAAGGCTGAGAGAGTTCTATACCATCTGGCCACAATTTTGTAGCTAATCTCTGAATATTAAGAAGTGAAATGCACAGTATATATCAAAGATTTAAGTGCATGCTGTCCTGTTCAGAGTACACTAGCTAGTGGGACAGAGGAATCTCTGCTCTTGCTCTAACTAAACCGATTGAACTCTCTGCACCAATCTATCACTCATTCCATATGCACATCAATATGATAATATGCTGGGTCTGGTAACCCCTCTCCCCTTCAAACTTTAGGTTTAAATAGGACATCTTTAATAATATGAGTTGCTTTTCCTTGCCATATAAATCCTATAAATTCTGACTTAACTGAGTGGAAAAAGGCCCAGGAGACATGAACAGGCAAATACAGCCGCTGAGACATCAAATTAATTTTTAGGACATTGTATCTCCCAAACCAGGAAAAGGCAATATTGTTCCAACATTATTATAACTGTCAAGGTCCTTTCATAAAGAGTCTACAGGGATTTGTGTACCCAGATACTATATTAATATTGGGATGCCCATCAGAATGGAATATTAGGATGGAAGGCCTCCAAGATAGATTCTTCTAGGGATTTTTTAAAGTTCAACAAAGATCCATGAATATGGAGTTCTTGTAAGAGTGACAGTAAAAAAATTAATTGGTTCGCAATATAAAAGAAATGGTCATCAGCATACACTGCAACTTTGTGATGCTATCCCCCAGAATGCAAACATTAAATATCTGGATTGTTCCAGATGCATTGCAAAAAAGGTTCCAGGGTTAAAGAAAAAAAAAAAAAAGGACAGAGGAGATAAGGGGTAGCCCTGTCTAGTGCCATTATGAATGTAAAGGGAAGTAAATGAATATTCACATCTGGAGGGATGCCAGGGAAGCTGTGCTTGGCAAAGCACCCAGTACAGTAGCCAACACAAACAAGCAGGGCCCAGGAACATCTGCAGGAATGCCAGGGATGCTGTGTTTGCAATAGCACCATCAGTACACGCTAGCGCCAGCCAATCAGGTGCCACATGGATAGATTAAGGGGGGTGCTGAGGTGGGCTGCACCCCCCTAGTTTTCAGTTTTGCCCCCCCACCCAAAGCCCCCCATCCTCAACCCCACCTCTACTCCTATCACTGTGCATTGTCGTCTCCAATCCCTGCACTGTACACACACAGCCTGAACACACAGTACATTGTTGAAATCCGAACATCTGTCTGATTTTTTCTGTTATGCTTAGGTCCTATTTAAAATTCTTGATTTTGAAACACACGATTCCATTTCCAATTTGCACTGCAATCATGGCATAATGCCCCACATGTGTTTGGAGGCCATTCATTCTTAATGGCACCTCAAACGTGGTACGATTTTGCCATGATTATTGCATGACTTAATCACGTGGCAATCGTGGCAAATTGCATTGAGCAAAGTTTGTCACACAGCTTGACAGCTTTTTGCAATGTTTTTTGCCCCGTTTCTGTCACGGAACCATCGCTGCAAAATTGCACCATGTTTGACATGCCATTAAGATTGAATGACACCCAAACACATGTGGTGTGTTTTGCCATGATTGCAATTGAGATTTGGAATTGCAGGCAGATTTGCTGTGATTTTGCCCGCAGTTCAAAATTGTGAATTGTGAATTGGGCCTTATTGTTAGTGTTTTTTATGTGTGACCCAAGACAATTCCTCTTCTTCCAGTGTGGCTCAGGAAAGTGAAAAGATTAAATACCCCTGATCTAAAGCCGTGATACATGAAATCAGGGAATATTGGACTCCTATATGGGCTAAGGTACAACACAGAAAATTCCAGTCAACCCTATCAAAGGCTTTTTCTGCATCTGTGGACAGCAAAAGCATAGGAGATAAACTTCTGATCTTAGATTTTGATTATACGGTATTATCTCTTACTTCCCTAGTGGGGAACCTGCTTGATCAGGGAAATAATGAGCTGGAGAATTGAGCTAAGTCTAATGGCGATAATATTAGAAAACATTTCAGGTTTAGTAAGGAAATTGGCTATAGCTGGAACAGAGAAGGGGGTCCTTATCTGGCTTAGGAATAACTGAAATGTGAGCACCTGACAAATCTGGTGGTAATTAATGTTTTATAGACACCTTAAGATCATCAGGTCCAGGTGCCTTGTCACTTGGGGATGTTTAAATAGCTGAAAGAAGTTCCTCAGCAGTTATAGGTTGGGAGAGTGAGTCCTCTTTTCCATCGCTAGAGTATGCAGGGCTGCTGAAGCTAAATACAAATTTATATCGGCCAATTTTTGGTCTAGTTGGGCACCTGTAAAGGGGGTTTTAAATTGTATAGATTTGTGTAATAAGATCTAAATGTGTCTGCACTGTCAATGGTAGCATGCAACTTACTGCCCACAGTAAAAGATATTGCCAAGATGTAGGTCTGGCCTCTACGAGATCTGAGAGCATGAGCAAGAGAGCAGCTACACTTATTACTGTACTAATAGAAAAAGCATCCCTTGCGCATCAAAAGATGTTTCGTCTTAAAAAGAGAAAGAGCGTGTTTCACTACATTTGATATTAAGTGAGCAAATCTTCTGGTGCTCTGCCAGAAGTCTAGCAGCAGGAAATAAAATAGCTGCTGCACTTTTATGTACCTTTACAAACTGAAATGCATAACTGCGGTACATCTGGCATACTGGGCATTTTTGCCACCTAATGCAGGGAATACAATATCCTAATAGTACAATTTAAAATAAACATTTAGGATTTTCTTGCATTCCTAAAATAATAAGACATAGTATGATCTATCTTCATAATCTGCTTTTCAGAAATAGCTCAATTAACTTAGGTTTAATGTTTCAAAACAATAGGCAATTTGAAGACCAATTACATAAACCAGTTGGAACAAAAACAGCAAACTGGGGAGAATTGTGCACTTTATATAAGAATGAACTCAAAAGATAGAAGCACATATTACTAGGGATTGAAACATCTGCAGTATGAGCCAAACAATACTGTGGATAATTGGACAATCACAGACTGCCAGGCATTTGTAAATGAAGCTGTTGTAATTAGAGCCCAGAGATCTCAGTAAAAATTTGCAAACCAAGAACATAAAGTAAGGGTGAGGAATCCTTTTTTATACTATAAGAGCCTGTGGATAACATTAAAATAAGAGTAAAGCCAAAACTCAATTAGCTCCACACACTATGCACCTTCAGGTTATATTACAAGTAAAACATCATAAAGTAAATCTGATTGCCTATTTTAAATGTAGTTTGCAATTCAATTAATGGGTCCTTTGCATTAATGATTTATGCAATCAACTGTTCAGATTAACCCTCTGCATATGTAAATCTCATAATGCAATATGAATGAGCTAATTAATTTGTACATTTCCTCTTCAGTGACTGTCCTTGTTCACTACTTAAAAATCCATAAGCATATTACTGTTTTGTCTTTTCTCTTCTTTTCTCTTCTCTGAAGCAGACAATAGCAGCTTTTTTATTCTTATATGGAGATGATATTTTTTTTCTCAGATAATCTAATAAAAAAAGTAATATATTGCATCAACAAACACACCTTTCTTGTTTTTCACGCCTTTTTTTAATCAAATGGTGCAGTGTTTCCAAGCTTGTAAAAGTACACCTGTACTTTAGGAATAAACATAATGTGAGGAAGTCGAAAATAGGATGAGTAGAAATGAATGTGGATGGCCTCTTAGGCCAGTGCCCCTTTACACTTTGCCATACTTGAATATTGCATTAACACATGCACTTTAACTCTTGTTTCACATAACATGTGTTGCAGTAAGGCAGCCAATTCATTTGTAAGGGCTGTCAAAGCACCAGTAAAGACAAAAAAAATTTTTTTTTCTAAAAATGCATTATTGTGTGTTCTGGTATGCTGCAAGGCACATGCATCAGAGCTGTGTCAGCTAAGCGCTATCAAAAATGACTGACATTGCAATGTGGTAATGCATGTAACTTGTAAATGTTTGTGATGTAACACACACCATATCACAGAAATGCAAATGTCTCTGTAAAGCAGATTTAAGTCTAAAAGGGCTCATTCACACTGGTGTGTTGCCATAAATGCACAGTAAAAGGTGCATTTATATCACATATTACTGCCCTATGTTAGTAAATGACCAAAGGTGCTGTACGTTGTGGTGTGGTGTGTTTTCTTAATGCATTAAAGCAGGGGTCCTCAAACTACGGCCTGCGGGCCACATGCGGCCCACCGAGCACATTCATCTGGCCCGCCGGCAGGGGGACACTAACTACAGGGGCGAGCAGGGCTCCGGTCCCAGTCCCACGACGATCCAGTCCAGGATACTCAGCTCCTTCAATCTGGCCGCTCCCTCACTCGATGTCCGCGCTGCTGCTCAGCTCCGCCTCCTCACCGGTGATTGGGCGCCAGTACTGTAGCTCAGGAAAGGCGGTGGGAATACTGGGCCGGCGAGGGCGAGGAGGCGGAGCCGAGCGCCCCGCAAAA